AATAAAATATTTGCGTTACTTTGCAAATTATAGAAAGGAAAAGAAAACCGAAATTGAAGGAAAATAAAATATTGAAAAAGATACTCCCTTTTCCGTAGACCCTGGTGGGACGATGCAATTGAACTGACTCACCCTCGATCTCAATTGATTTTTAATTATGCCTCGACAACAGCCTGGCCTGATATTAGTAAATTCATATTGAAGAACGTTAAATAAGGTAATAATAATATTAATAATAATTATTATAATAATAATGAATAATAATAATAATAATAATAATAATAATAATAATAATAATACTGATAATTGTAATGATAATGATACATATATTAACAATAATAATAATACTAATATTAAGAGTAAGAATAATAATAAATTTGTTATATTTCTACGCTGGGCTCTTTTTCGAGGCAGAAACGTTGATCGATATGAAAATCCCTGTTAACTGGTGAGCACATAATCGCCGCATTGTAATATTATTAACATTATTACGTTATTATGAAATTGTTGAAATAAATGAAATGAAAATAAACGTCTTCCATTTCCTTCTTCTTCACTTTCATTGCTGACCATACGTACATCCATCTGCGCTTGATAAATAATTGATTTTACGAGTTTCTTTACAGAAATAACATTTTTATTTAAATAACAGAACCTTTCCAATCTAGAACCTTTAACGGATCAGGTTTTTTTTACAATTTCTGAAAGTTCAAAGAATTGCCGAAGTCATTTGACATTAATACGATTAATTAATTTTTTTTCCTGTGTATCAGGATTTTTTATTTAAATTACTTAAAGATTACTATGCATTAAAAAGAAAGGTATTTAATGTTTTCTGTCTTGACTGAGAAAGAATTATACTTAAATATTTGTAACACGAAGTATTTCTAATTAAGCGTAAATATTTTCATTTGCAACAATAATATTATTGAAACCAAAATCAAATTTGCTATTAGTAAAACTAGTACAGATAAGATATAGTTAATGTCACAGACTAGAAATGTTTACAAACTTAATATTCATAACGTGACCGGTACGTTAGCCTTCTTCTTAGTAAATGACGTCATATTTGTTGCAATATGCAAAACATGCAATGACGTAAAAAAGAGTCATCGCAGAGAAGGTTTAAAATGCGAAGTAATAAAAATGCTTACTTCATTTAATAATCTTTATTTCCTTGTAAAAAGAACTATCTAATTATCTATCTTAAAATTACGTCTACCAATGGAAAAACAATATCCTGCATGAACATATTCGCGGCGTTTATCATGCATGTAATAAAGTACAAATTTCTGGCTCAACGATCCTTTTTTTCTTTCCCATATTTGTTCTTTTACATACAAAGTAAGGATAAATTAATGTACATTCGCTGACACGATCATTCTTTTCTCTAGTAGACAAGAGAATTAATTACAATTCTGAAGGGTCGGCAGAGTTACACAATTCAAACGTTTACGGAACAGTATCGTTTGAAACGAGAAATTTTACATTAAAGATATATCATTTTTAATACCTTTACGTTAGAAGAGTCGAAGAAAACGAAAGAATTCTGTATGCATAATAATCTTCACGGAAGTGCAACGAATAATGAGAAAACATTCAACGTATACGAAAAAAATTAATGAACAAACGAATTACTTTTCTGGCACCATGAATATGTAATTCAGCATAATTTATTGTCTACATAAAACTATCTCGACACACTTCTTACTATTCTAACAATTTATGTTTACGTGTATTATAACATTCCTCGATAAAATTTCGTAAATGCTGTTCTCCGCCGTTTAAAGGAACGAAGAAAGGGTAAGATGTAATTCAATCGTGTAACAAGCGCAACAAAGACGGTTCCCTTTGCCTTTTCGAATACTCGGCGAGCGATGGACGTACCTAATGTTGATGTTTGATTTCAATGGTGCAGAATCCATGGAATTTGTTCATTTAGAACGGAAGAAACAGACGAAACTGTTCATGACCCAGTGCTGTTCACGCTTTATCAACGGTTGCGCGTTCGCGCGATGAATTTCAACACGTTCCACTGATTGTTGTAACGCTAATAGATTAATTCGATTTATTTTACATCAACGTTCAACTTGAACAATGACTTTTACGGCTAAAATGGAATAACGTTTCGGTAACTGTATGTGAGAATCAAGGGGAGAATTTTTCATGCAAATCATCCGAATCTATACTCGCGTGTATCGAATAATAAGTCACCAGCAATTGTGATTTAGGAAAATCAATATAGAACTGCGCGAAATTTCATTGATCGAAAATGAATGTCTCGAAGAGAAAAAGAAATTTATATTTGCACTCGCATACATCGTTAAATTCATGCTTACTTTTCAGTCCATACAAATATAAAATAACCCCAGAATTCTAATATTTTTATGGCCGCATTTATTATCGTTATTTATAACAATTATAAATGTATGTGTTCATAATAATTATTACACCTTTCCTTTAAAATCTAATTACCAGTTATTATATTTGACATCGATGCCATGGAGGAGTTTAAAATATGTAATAAACTTAAAAATTACGCAAGTACATTAGTATTCTAGGGTTAATTGAAGATGTCAGTAGTTAGATTGTTCGAAAGATTTCTAATTTCATTTCCTTAAAATAAGTTCTATCGTATGCTTTAAAATACCAAGTTGAAAACAATATACGAATTAAACAAATTCAGAGAACAATTCAGATTATTATACAATATTACCCATATTAGTTATTTCAAAGAATCTATCAGAATGTAACGCTTTTATCAAGAATAACATTTTCAAAAAATTCAATTCTTACGAATTCAATGAAGATAAAGCATTTCTACGTCAGAACATTCGCTACAGATAAGTCACGACGGTTTATCGTTCGTCTAATATTAAAACTGACATCTCCAATCGTATCTTGAGCTGCAAGATGCGCGTAAAGGTCGTCTGTCTCATCGTGATTCTCATACACAATCATTCATCGCATTCTCGAACGAACAACGCTATAAAATATATAGAAGTAAAATGTATAGAAATGAATAAGCATCACCTAGTTACTCCACTCTCGGGGACTAAATTCTAGTTATTGTATCTTGTTCAAGGAAGACACGTGTCGCTCTATCAAGGAATTAATTCGTCACTCTAACCGCGAGCGGTGGTATCATACATCATCAATGTTGCCGTGCATGCGACGAGGACAACGAATCGCAAAGGTTCGATGAGTTTTCGTGAAAAAACATTGGCTTCCCTATTTAACGTTCGCACATCAAATCGATATATATATCTATATATATTTTTTCGCATTTACGCTTCCGTCAGAGTGTTTTCCTTTTATTTTCCGCTATCGACAATCACAAATCGAATGTCCGTGACACACGACGGTCCGACTCCGTAGTTCGGACCCAGTCGGGAGAGATGCACTTTTTTTTCTTTACAATTTATTCTCGAGTATAAAATTATCAAAACGACATGCAATTACTTTGGAACGATCCCTTCGAAGTCGTCGAATAAATGAAAACCTTGCGGTTCAAAATTGCCGCGCTCTTTCTCTTTCACCCTTTCTCACTCCCTCTCTCACTTTCTTTCGCGCGCGCTCTTTCTCTCTCTCTTTCTCTCTCTCTCTCTCTCTCTCTCGCTCTCTTTCTCAACCGTGATGGAGATTCCCCGTAATAGAAAATGAAATCTTTCCTTTTCTCATTTTTCTTCTTCTCGTAATATATACAATAACATCACTCGTAACAACTGGCTTGATTCACGAGGCACAACTGTAGGCAATACGTACATGAAAATCAACGATCTTTAACGAGCAACCATAAACATTCTTTGCAAGTGGAGCAAACGTTCTATTAGAGAAAACATGACCGTTTAACAATCGTCTGCACAATACTCGTATAGTTTGACTATGATATTTTCGTACGTCGGTACACGATACAATTCTCCTTCCTCTTTCACATTTTTCCCTTTTATTCCATTGCGATTTCGCTTGTAACGATTAAGAACGCAGGGCCGTGACGTTGTACTTCTAATGTGCGCTTTCGTATCAGCAAATGTTGCACGAAATTTCGTTCAATTTTTCTTCAGAAGAAGAGCCACGGGGAAGCGTACAACTCGCGACCGCGACGAACAAAATTGGGAACGTTGGACTTCTCCCCCGAAGAAGATTCTAACTAAATTTCGAAACAAATTTGAGAATTTTAAGGTAAACATTATGTGGATACCGATACTAAATATGCACCGTGTTGACCACGTAAAAATCATACAATAATTCTCTTCTTAATAAAAAGACCATTCTGCTTCTTTCAACTGTTCCATTCTGTGAAGTTTTAACGTATGAAATAATTTTTCATTCAAATTCATCTGCAATTCGAAATAGTGCACTTTTCGAAAACAGCAGAACTTGTAGAAAAGAGGTCGAATTACTTCTTCCAAGCAAAGATCGAGAGAAAACCAATAAAACAGCTATTGACCACCTTAAACAGCTATTTTTGATAATACAAAAAAAGGTTTAACACATGGAAAGCATCAAGCTAATATTTTTAGAGATATCAAGATCTACGTTACGTTTTTATATAAAATCATATACTTCGTCATGTTCAAATTTGGTTTAATTCCAGATAGAACGTATATTTAAAAAAATGATTCTACTTAAAAGATCCCAAAAATCTTGAAATCCAAAGTGCAAAGCACAAAATCTTGATAACACAATTTCACCTCCTATCGTACAAATTTTAATTTGAAACATTTTCACGTATAAAACAACGGAAACGCATAGGGTGATCAAAACAAACGGTACATCCTGTAAGTACGCGACCGTTCGAAACTATCCACGACACTGTCATGCCTTGCAGCCTGCTGTGAGATCCTTATCATTAGAAGAAAATTACTTTAAAATGATTTTTCGATTTTTTATTGTCTAAAAGAAATCGTCAGGTTATAACTAGTGTAACGTAGCTTGCAACACTTCCGAAATCGATCCCGAGAGAATGTATATAGCAAAACAGTAGAAAAATTGAAATACATCTGCCAGTCGGTGGAATGGATTGATCACGGCTCCCCGGCGTTGTATCGGCACAGATCGTTCCGACCTGGACCCCCCGCTAGATTACAATAATGGCAACGGTAATTCGCACGGTTAATATCAAAATTATTTGATATCTACGTTCTACGCTTATCCGATTCCCGATATTACCCGAGTTACTCGTCTAGGACAGGCGATCGATGGACATTAATTTAACGGTGGATTCCTAAGTGGTTCGCCAGTTTCGCGCTCGATCCGCGTCCGTTTCAGCATGCTTGCGACAAAGGTTCCGAAGGAAGACAATCAATCGTGGAGGCAGCCATGATTAATTCTACCAATGCGAGACACCGCCGACCGAAGACCACGGTGGACATTGGATAATTGCTACGTCGTTATCCCCACCGGATTCCTCTTATAGTCGATCAATTTCTAAAGCTCCTGGTACGCCTTTGAGCCTTTTCCACGTTTCGTTTGAATGCAATATGTATCATGAAACCTTGAAAGACTCAAATCCACTTGTAGCAATACCTGCATCGCCGTAGGTTTTAATGTTTGTGGGTGTCTTAGCACATAGCACTCGACCAGCCGTGGTTGATGGATGTAACATGATCCAATTATTGTCGAACTCGACGATCTCAACGTCTTTTCTATATCCGAAACTTCAATCGCTTATTATATAAGCATCGATGATCGTAATTCTATCGTGTTTTGCGTCATTTTAATTAGAAAATCATAACAAACACGATGGCGAAAGTTCATTCATCCAAAGTCGAAAATAAAAGTTTGATTTTTGAGTTAAAGGTCTCAAGCTCATCGCTTCCGCTCTCAGTTTCTCTATTTCCTTCATTTGCGTCCTTTTCTATATCCACGAATATATTTCTACGTCGTCGTAATTGTAACCTTCCGATTGTTACAACTGCAATTCCCCAATGTCCGCTGTACGGTGCTTCGTCGGCGATCGTCTCGCGTAAACGCATGTTAGCCACGGAAAACAAACGATTGGGAATCACGAAACATTCACGTTGGGAAACCTGAATCTCGGAGAACTTCGAGTCGTCGCGTGAACAAAACGGAAGTCGAAATGGATCCGGTATATTAGCAATACTCTCTAACGCTTAGTTTAATTAATTTAAGTGGTACGTTACTATGCAACGAGTGCCATTGAGCTTTGTTTCCGTTACGAATTGATAACTGCGATCCTTTAACTTTGATAGTCGTTCGTGAGTATAAAACGAAGGAAAGATCGACTGTTACAAACGATCGATGCGAAATGCTGAGCGTCCCCTTTCTTTTTATCCTGATTTTCGTTACTTTAGAAACGCTCGATGAAAAAAGGAAGAAAACTATGCATGCGCAAGACGGAAGAACACGGTTAACTGTAATTCAAAGAACGAAACGGAATCAACGATCGACTTCGCGCGCGAGAATTGTCGAAGCCGCGATTCGCAATTTCTTAAATTCTTCGATAATATGTTTCTCTCTTTGTTCGTATCATGATCACGAAAACCGTGAAATAATACTTGTAACATTCCCTCGAACGGTTCAATGCCGACATTGAACCACGAGCGGTCGACTCAACCAGAAGTAAGCTTCTCGCGTAATTGTACGAAAAAGATTCGATGAAATAAAGATTGTAACGATGTTGGTTGAGTTCAAAGAAAATTGCGACGATGGCACGCAATTTGTAATTTTTGCTAAGTTCCGTGGAAATTATTTCCCACGATAGATCTCTATAATGTGATCCTGGTCCACGTACTCGAATATATGCGGCGCGTCCATCAGGATCCCGATGGTACCCGCGGTTGTCACGATGAAGAAAATGTAGAGCTGTAGTCGGTCAATTACCATCGCTACGTACTTCCAATCTTCCCTTGTCTGTAATCATTAAGTACATTATAATCAACTATTGCCTATCAATCTCAATTACGTGAGTTAGTCAACTTCTTTCAGGAAGCTGGTATTCCAACAAAATTAACTTTTCATATTTCATATTTCAATGAATTTTTTAATAATAATACTTTTATTAAAAATCGAATAACTGGAATTTCGTGAAGAAATTCTTGTCACTTTTGTTATCTTTTAAATGTCAAATAGTACCACTCTGAAAATAAACATTAACAAGATTTTGTATTTACCTTGAATCTTGTACTATTTAAAAGAGTACATAGCCATTATCCTAACATAAGATAGAATTGAAACATTAGTATCCTTATCTTTAGTGTATAAATTACTTTGCGAATTAATGATGACATCTAGAAACAGTCTCATCAAATCACAGCTCTTATATTTTCGTTTCATATCTTCCTGTTGCTCAGACAGTAATTATTTAGAAATACTCATTGATTTCATAATTCCGCAATATATCAATTTAACAAAATTAAAAATATCAAACGTTTTATGTGTCTCACATGTGCTGCACATTCACTGATGCGATTTCAACAATGAAAAAAATCCAAGAACAATATAAATTAATTTTGCTTTAATTTATACATACATAGAACTATATTATCCGCATCGAAATAATATTTCTCTCTCATTCCTAAAAAGAATTGACAAAAATCGACTAGTACGGATCTCTAACCTTGCCACTTCAATTTTAGATAGAAAATACATCATATCTGAAATCAACTGGTCTCACCTGTATATACAAATCTTCGTTCCTCAAGTGTTCAGCAATGAACTCAACAGCTTCCGTAGCTTTGCTTGCTTCCGGGCTAAGCAGCACCGAGTCCGAGCTCTCCGATCCTCTTCTGTCAGCCAAACCTTCGCCACCAGCTGCGCTCGAGCCGCTGGTAGTATGATGAACCTTCCTGTTGATCTTACAATTGGGATGATGCAGATCGGACAGCTCCATTACTTCCATTTTCGACTTGGCCAACGAAGCTGGCAGGTGTTTCGGCAGCTCCGTCGGACTCCCTGAATAAGTGGACGTCGGCAGTGTCACGTTAGGGATCTCCATCATCCACCTAAGCCTGGTCTTCTTCGGTCTTCTCATCAGCAATATGGTCGGCAGGTATTTGAGGAAGATCTTCCTGATCAGCTGCGGCATCCTGTGCGTCCGGGGTCCTCGGAAGTTCCAATTGATGATGATCACGGTTACCAAGATGCTGACGGTGTTCATGATAAAGGTGAACAAGAGGTACTTGGCGATCAGCGGCAGCACGAGCGACGTCGGCGGCAGGATCTTGCTGACCAGCAATAGAAATACGACCAACGAGAGCAGAATGCTGATCCCCAGTGTCACCTTCTCGCCAGCCTCCGCCGGAAGATAGAAGACCAGCACGCAGAGGAACGAGATCAGAACCGTGGGAAGGATCAGATTCACCGTGTAGAACAGTGTCTTGCGTCTGATTATGATGTAGAATGTAATGTCCGTTTCCGTTGGGAAGTCGCCCTGATAAGTGTTCAGGTACGCTGGGACGCTGATGATGTCCCAGGTACCGCTTTTCCAATAATCGGACAGGTCCACGAAGTTCTTGTTGTTGTACAACGCCAGGGACACCTGGTCGCCGTTAAAGGTCCACGAGCCGAACTTCATGATGCAGGTTTGCTGGTCGAATGGGAAATACGTGACGTCGATGGTGCAAGAACTCTGGTAAATCGCTGGTGGTACCCATAGCACGTCGCCGTTAGGGTAAATCAGAACGTTGCTCTTGTAGCGTACTTCGTAGTTACCGTCGGCGCTGGAAATAGGTCGATGTATTCAATTATTTGGGTGGAGCTTCGGGTTCGAAGCTCTGCGGAGTGGCGCGGCGGGTTAATGAAATTCACATGCAACCTTTATATTCGAGACCGATCGAACAGGAACGAGTGTATCGATACAAAGTTTTTGAAATGCTATTCTAAATGATACTCGAGGTTTAGAAAGTTTGAGAAATAAATTAATTTTCTTATAGTAATGATGATTAGAGTATAAAGGTTTGCAGGTGTTGTAATATTAAAACATTGATCAAGTGACGGTTGAAATTACGTTTGAGATCAGTTGTGAATATATGATGCAACCAATTTTCAAAATTGAGAGAATATTTGATACCTACTTATTGAATAATACGATATCCGGTTTCCAAACTTTATCAGGTGGCAATCTGAGAACCCCAATGCCGCCGTAGTCCGCTTCGTCCCATTGTAATTGATAATCCGTCCAGATGAATCTCAACCAGACATTCGACTTCATGATCTGATTTTTCTCGTTCTAGTAAATAATAATTATTATTATGCACACGTAATTGAAAATACATATGTGGATCTTGAATAAGAACATAAAATATTATATATATACATTATTAAAATAGAAAAAAACGTAAAATTTTGAATACAATGAAGGAACTAATTTTAATAGAACATAGTTTTCAACACTAGAAGATATATTTATACCTCCATTGTACTGAGCATGACAAACTAAAGCAAGAATTAAATAATTAAGGATAAAAGTTTCAAGCAGATACTTTGAAGATGATTCCTATTTGTATATGAATACGAAAATATATTTACATACATATTCCCATTTTTTTCAGTAACACCAGACAAAATTTGCGACCAAGTCGTGAAACGTACAAGTGGACCAAATAAAATGAAATACAATTAATGCAATGATTTTTGCTTTTTGTTATTATTTCGAATGTACACGAGAAGAGGAACTGTCAAACTTTCGTATACACCTGGATCAGACAAAATGGCTATCGTGGAGAACGATAATAATCCGGAAGAGTTCATAATTCGATACGACGATGAATAACAATCAAAATGAATGCTTAGAGGATCGAAGAGTGCAATGATTATTCGAATAGTACACCGAAATGACAGCAATAAAATCTTACCACGTTGATCAGCTGCACAAAAGCCAGGCCGAAGTTCACATGCACCTTCTCCGTCATATTTTGAACTGGTCTGATAAGTTTGTTGTATCCTCTGAACAGATCTCGGACCAACCTCTCCTCATCTTCGGAGCAGAGGCCTAAGAAACGAGGGTGATTAATAGATCAAATGACTCACCCACTGTTTAAGAGGTCTCTCGCTGATCACAGCAACGATTCGACGTTCCCTTACCGATGCAAAATACCGTGGAGATCAGAAGAAGACGCGCGAGCCGCAAACAAAAATGCATTTTGGGCAGGTTTCAGGTGTCCCACCCGCAGACACCCTTACTCCACGGCCACCGCCGCAGATCAATATGAGTACGCAGACGCTGGCCAATAAGTGCATTCCCTTTCTTGCCATCCGATCCGCCGACACACACCCTGTCCCATTCTCATTGAATAAATTAACAACTTTTTCTGGATGTCCTCTTATAAACACGATCCTATTCTTCTTCTCTGCTCTGTCGTTCGTCACTCCTTGGTGCACAGTTAATCTTTCGATTGGCGAACCGTATATCCCACTTTGAAACGCGTGACCGGGATGCGTTTTGGTGTTCGAAGTTTAAGGGGTGCCTGGGCAGGGTTCTTCGTGGGAGATGCGCGCTACAGATACGCGTTCTAGATGCTTTCCAAGAGTCTCGATGATCTGCTTTATCGGAGGATGTTAGACGAGTTGAGGATAGCAATAATTTTCTCAGCGGTGACGGTAATTTATGATATTATGTGTATTTATTTTTGTGGACAAGTGGTCAGATTTTTAAGCTACATCTAAGCGTATCTACGAGTACAATTTTTTATTGTAACTCCTGGACCGAACCGCGCTTGGTTTTCCTATCGTAACTGACAAGAGATACTGCTTTAATAAGTTTAAAGTTGGAGTATGTTTCGTTATAAGAAGAATTTGAAATTTTTATCAAGAAATTCGGAGATTAGCAAATAGATGTAATATAATAACTATGCATTTAGTTATAGTGTAGTTCAAATTGTTGGGTTGGATTCATCCCAATTAATGAAATCAAATTTATTTGAATGGGCCATTAACCGTACTAAAATTCGAAACTTGTAATATCAATTAGACTCTATATTTCTGTATATTGAAAGTTTCGTTTAATTATTTTAAACTCAAAGTAATTAAATTTGATTAATTTTGAGTAATTCTTTATTCATATTACTATAATATATTTTCATAATTGTATTACATGTAGTTTAGTTCATGTACAAGTTGTACGTAAAAAAATATGATTCAGTCAAGTTCTACGAAATTAAGAAAGTAAAGAGACTAGTTTCTGTGTTAATAATTCAAACTTTTTTATTAATTGAATTAAATTATAAATTTAATAAAAATTTTAATACATAGACAAGTACAGTATATTATAATATTTTATTTACTTATTGAAATTTATTTGATTTATTTTCAGTTAAAATATACAATAAAAATAGTAGAGCTATTAGATTTGACAGGTGCTTAAATGCAATTTAATAAAACATGTATTGTCTTGTATTGTATTATATATTGTATTGAAAACAAAATTGAATCATTTTATGTAATCTCAGAAATTATTCACGAGCAGATCACATATATATTAATAATAACAATACAATAAAGTTTTAAGAATAAATATTAAATTTTCTTTTAACAAGTTTGAATCGCACATAAAATGAGCGCCTTAGCTCGGCCGATAAAATCACTATATAGACATCAGAGATGGCGCCATCTAACGATGGCACTATACAACTTCTTCGTAAAAATATAGGCGAATAGCAAATTAGAATCAAAGATTAGATAAAAATTGACCAATTAGGGCAGTATAACTATAAATTTATAATCCTCAGCTTAGCCACCAAATTGTGGACGGATAATAGTAAAAACAGTGGGTATAGTGTGCTATTATAATGTTAAAATTTTAATAATGAAATTGCATTTATGAATATAATTTAATAATATAAAGAAATGTAATAACCACGAATATCTTCCAAACTATTAACGTCGCGAAAGGGTACTATAAAATTTCTAAGAGCACGTTCTGTAAACGGAGCAAACAGTTGCACGGATACCAACGTAATACTGAGTAGTAAAGCTGAGTAGATATAGTAAGCCTTTTATTGTCTCAGTCCTGCAAACCTTTGACTACAAAAAATCCTACATAGTAAGTAGTCTATATTTTACTTGTCTCATTGACTGAAATAGTCTATGACTTCAGCAAGTCTTATTGATAATACATGAAAATGTATTACACAGATAGTTTATTGTGTAGTCGTGGTATAGATGAGACCTCGTTATTTGATGTTGAACTTCTACTATCTATCTCCGTCGAATGACCTTAGGTAAATTAGGTATAATTAGTTGTTAAATACTTGTGTTTTGAAGTAGGCCTTAGTGTCAATCTCATTAAAATATCATATTAAAATTAATTGCAGTATATTACATATGTTCTGATAGTAAAATACAATAAACAAAAGTTTCGTTTTTATATACTAAATAATTGAGATTTGTATCTTTATTTCTTATGTCTTATACGACTTTTGTTTGCTACGTATTCTTCTAACGATTATGTTGTTATACTTGTGGTTTAGTGACTTTTCAATTCTTAAATTGGTAGGCAACAAAATATAAAGCTTTGATACGAGTTGAACGCTAAGTTCCTTTTCCTTCGTTTACTTTCCAAGGTAAGTTATTCAAATACTTATACAACATTTAGACTTTAAACTAATAACGCTATTTAAAAAAATAACAATATTATCATTTATAGTTACGAAAAAACGAAATGTAACAATTTCGTGTGTTAAAGTAGGTCCCAAAATTATTAGCACACGTAACATATTCTACGAAAAACAATTGAAAAACATAAGAATTTTATTGTGATTAATATTGTGTGGGGTCTCCTTTTTGTTTTATTACATCTGCAAGTCTTTTCGGCATCGATTCTATTAATTTTTTAAAATAATCTTCAATGTTGTACCATTCTTCTACAAGATTATTTTGCAGATCTCTTTTATTAGTAATCGAATGTTTTCTTATTTCGTCGTCAAGTCATGTCAGTTGATAAAAACACTGTAGCATAATATATCCTTTTTTCAGGTTTTCAAAGAATTCATAGAAATGACTACTGATAACAAGAGCTGGGTAAATATTAATTAATTGTTGTTTTGCATAGAAATTGATAAGGTTTCGAAAGTAAATATTTGAAACTGTTAGACATTAATTCTGACTGAAACTATTATGAAGAATCAAAATAAAGTCATAACTCTTATTCAGTACATTGATACATCAGTTTCTGTGTCAGTTTCTGAACATGTGTATCTCTAAACACGTCTGACAAGTACTTAAAGTTTTACTTATGTATAATATGATTATAATGTTATAAATAAATCGAAGGAAAATTGGAGAAATATATAATATTAGAAAAAAATCAAATACATTCTAACAATGAGTCTGTCTGGACATAGGATCCTAAAGCGTTAATATGATATTTATGTGTGTATATACTTTCGGAAATTAATGTCTTTATTAATTTTTTTTTCTTTTTTTAAAATTGTATAGTACTTCAATAAAGAAACATTGTTGATATTCTCTCATTATATTGAAATTTCATACTATATTTTTGTATTTAAATATTTATTTAAATAATTGTTTGTTCAGGATGATATGTTGAAAATTGCCAAAATACAACAACAAGAATATTATGAACTTTTATCACAGTGGACAATATATAATGAGGACGAATACAAATATTTGAAACAAAATATTGGATTTTCAATTTTTGGTCCTCCAACAGAATCTAATACCTCTATTTCAACTTCTTTATCTACTAATGTTACTGATTCATTACATTACACAAATAAAGCACAAAAAGTAATAGATCGAATATTTAAACAAATACAAAAATTTGGTGAAATGAACTATAAAAGTGCATCTCCTCGAAACAAAAAATGTATTTGTTATGGTGTTATTTTCAATGTAACACTTCCTATAAAAAGCAGTTCGCTAAAAGAATCAGAAATATATGCACAACCTATATCCATTTTTAAAATAATAACAAGAACGGATACAGTATTGTATATTGATATACATGGCAGGGTATATAAAAGTTGGGAGAATTATAAAACAAATAATACCTTACCAAAATGTACAATGGTTCTTCCAATGAATGGATTTTATCAATTTGATAAAAGTTATGAAATTACTGAAGAATATTCGATAGTGTGGTTAGAAATTGTTAATTCTCCTGCATGTAAAGTAGCTAGAAAGGTTATTGAAGGTGTTGATATAGCAGCAACTGTAGTTGGGGTTGCTGGAATGGGAGTAGGTCTTTTATCTATGGTAACACCTGTCGGACCTTTAGTATTAGGTAAGAAACACAAATAATATTATACTTCAATATTAGTTTTTGTCAACAAATATATTAGTTTCTTATGGTCATTTCATTGATAATGTTTAATCAGAAATGGTTTTTATTTTATGATTTAATTTGTTAATATTATGACTTTAAGCAATAGTAAAAACATGAGTAATTTATAATTGTTTGGCATTGATGTAAATATAACGATACAAATACAAAAAAAATGACAAACATAATTAATAAGAATAAAAATATATCTTTATATGAAAATATTATGATTGTAGGAGCTGCTGCAGTTTCTGGTATAGGTACTGGAGCATGGGGTATTGGTCGATCAACACAGAACTTGGTAGATCGAAGCAAACATGAACAAAGTATTAGTCTCAGAGATAGAGAAGCACTCTGCTCATGGTTAACTATAACAGGTAGTGCAGTTGGTTTAGCAGCAACCGGGGGAAGTGTTCTCCTTGTAAAAGCTGTTAAAAATGGCAGGAACATTAGTACAGCTGCTAAATTAGCATTCAATTCATTAGTCGTTGGAAATGTCAGTCTGAATGGTGTTGGTATAGCATTTCAGGGGTATTGTATGTATAAAAGATATCAGGAAGAACAAGTAGTTAGATCTATGGATGTATTGAACCTAGTTACTCATGTTTTGTTTTTTGGCAATGCTGTCATGAATATGCAATTGGCAGGAAACCTTATTGAAACCACTCAAGGAAAAATTTTAGACAATTATAGAAATAGTTTACGTACCAAACGTCTTCGTAAATCATTTAATCGGGCCAAACGTGCCGCTGCTGCAAATAATGCAGAAAAGATCCAAGAAAACGCTGAAGTCATACGGTATATTAATGCAAAGAATGACATGCTATTTAAACAAAACAATGTCCCTATCAATAGCGTAGTAACGTTTGAAGGCGGGAAAATAAAACTTTATGGTAATGCATTATTAGATCCTATAAAATTCTTATTTATGTTACTGCGGGAAGATCGGATTGACAAAGAAAATTATGAAAGTAATAATTCTTCAGATACGGAAAGAGATAACCCTATGATTTCTAATTTAAAAGAACTATTATTAGATTTACTGTACGAATACAACACAGTTAATGATGAACATTTTACATCCAATTTCAATTCTTATGAGTACGATCGAATTATTGATGATATGAAAAATATGGAAAATGCATCAGAAACTTTGCTTTTAATATTTAAATTAGGTATGCTTTTAATTAAGCAATCTCGCTCTGCCCCTGAAGTTTTGGGAATAGCAATTTATTTTCTTTGGCGGTATATCAGAAAAAATTTGGAACAGCGTTGTATGAATGCAGCTTCTTCGATTGAAGATCCGTTGATTCAGGATATATTAATTAAATTTGTAATGTGTATGTTCGAACACGGAGATACAATAATACAATTATTGATACCCGCTTTTAAAACATATGTATCTAATATTAGCGAAACATAAATATCAAGAATTGATAATGTTACGTTGTCAATTACTGATATGATGCCTGATCATATTAATGTAATTTTAAATTATTGTTGTATTTCTGCTTATTTACATGAAATAGTATTGAGAAAGGAACATAACAAATTGAATGATAGTTTCGTTAAAGAATGGTCATATTATGTGTCAATAATTTCATTAGTGAAATGAACGATTTTGATAATCCGCTCTTGTAATTTACTATTTCCAAATTTTATTTACGTATAGTATGCCCTATTATCAATATTGAGTAATATAATGCAATTTCAGTTTGGGGTATTTGGTAAATGATCGTCTTTGCTTACAAGTCTTACCACACCAAGAATTGATAGTGAACACGTTATGTTTGAAAAATACGTACATGGATTTGACAAGTGTTCATAAAGGAAGCATTCATAATTTACGTATCGACTGTTAATTTTAAAAGGTGTACGTATTCTTCCAATGTTTCAGAACAATGCACACATACGATGCGTAATCGTAGCGCATGTTACATATCTGTGTATGCGTTAGAAAGAAATTTTATAGTTAAAATGATGATATTTATATTGTAATATAAGATGATATTAATCTCATTTCGTATGAATATAGTATGTCATTTTTAAAAATTAGTAATTTTATAAAGTACGACTTCAAGTGCGATCACAGTAATCTTAATCACAATGTTGCCTTCTTGAAGATTTATATACGTATATTGTATTATATATTATATATATGGAATAGTATTTTTCTCACTGTATGCAATGATTATACACTCTTGTAAAAATGCACATTTTGAATACAGCTTTACAAAAGCAAATGGTAAACAATAATGTATTTTTTCTGTTTAAAGTTTTATCAACCTAAAGATAAAATACAGGTATACTTTATCAATATTTTTCTGCGATTGGTTACTACGTTTTCATGTGTGCACCCGACGAATATTTTTAAAGTGCGTAATATTTGTTGCATAAATTCAGAAATTAAATGTTAAAATATTGTTCAGCATGGGCTGATATAGTACCCTGATTAATTCACAACTTTTGTTATATTTTTGGACGTTTTTCTTTTAATCCTTATATGTACAACCAATGTAATCACGTTGTTTCCCACCGGATAATTTAGTACCCTAAGCGCTCGATTCAAGCAGATTTTATATAAAACGATAAAATCATGCTCAGATTTTTGAAAAATATATTAGATTTTATTGCTATTATTACAAACAAAGTAATATTTTATGAATGTAAATACAAAACGGTGATGTATGACTAAAAAATGATCTAATGTTAAAGTCTATAGTTGAAGCTTGCTGCGTATGTTCATACATTAATTTCATTATAAGAATGGAGGAACGAAGAAGAAATAAATTCATGATATTCCGTTTTTGTCGACTTTTCAATCCTTAATGACTACTCTAACACTATCCATCCGTTAGTTACAAAGTCAATATCGAAATTCTGCAGGTTTGCGTTACGTATCGTAGAAGTTTCAGAGAAACCCCATCTCTGAGATCAATTATCTCCAAGAACATTTGTTTTTGAATGGAATTATTGTCAAAATATTTTATAATTATACGCATATTATTACGTTTAAAAATAGAAGAATTCCACCATTTTGTCAACCGTAAACGAGAATCTTGTAAAAAACACTGTATTTCTAAAATACACACTAATCAATTTACAAAGTTTGAAATCGAAATGTTTAATAACACCCGTAAAAAAATCCCAAAATCACCTTACTTTTTCTTCTGTCAGAGTTAGAAGGGTCTTTCGATTACTTTAAAACTAAAAAAATGCTCTTCCCAAATTTCTAATAACATTTCTAATTATTAATTACAATACTGTGTTAGATCGACTGAAGTGACAATCGACCTGGTATCAATAGTTGACCATTCTTCAGAAAAACATAAAAAGAAGGTTTTTAAAAGTAATAATCTTTCGATAAAGGCACGACAGATATGCTGTAGCATCTACCAACTCAACTTCGAAACACTTTTACCTGAATTAAATTGTTTATCGTGAAAACTAACGATTTATTTCATTGACGTTGGTTGCATGCCTCCAACGTGGAATTAAGTTCTTTTCATTTGTATTTGTCGTTTTACTTGCACTTTGTCATAATCGTTACAAACAAACGATATTAAAGTAATTACCTTTAGTGTTTCCGGTTTTCCTATAAGTGGCCAACTGCTAACTAATACACGGTCAATTAGTTTTCTCATTTTAAAGGATGACGAATTCCTAACGCAAGTATTGAATTTTTAAAAAGCTTCACTTTGTTGCATGACGTAAGAAGGTCAAACAGCATTTTCACACATAGGGTCTGTAGTTAATAATGCAGCGAGCGTTTATTATTATTTACGCAGATTTGTCTTAACTGGTCAACTGCTGGTGCTTTTCTCTTAGTTTCAGCTTTTATGTTTCACGGATTCCGTGACAGTATCATTCGACATAATCTTTTTAGTGAATATCGAACACTTTAATGTATTCTAAGTATTTGTGTTCGACAGTATTGTTGTCACATTAAAAAACTGTGAATGCACTCAGACATGAAGATCTAACGCCGGTATATTGCTTGATGGTTTCCATGAATTGTTCCCCTGGGTAACGCGGTGCATACGCCTTCGACTACCAAGTGTCGCTAGCGCAGAAATGCAAAACTCAGCGACACGTGCAGTGGTATCGACACTTAAGGAGGCACCATATATGGTAATTCTTACTCCCGAGCGCGGGATAATAAAACCGAAACGACATATCCAAAATTCAACATCGTAAGACACCACGTTGCTCAACGTGTATGCACAGGTTACAAGCAATTGTTGATGTCATTATTTACACTGTTCCTTTGAAGTTTGCGTGTCTCAGATCATCTGAGACTCACGTGTTACTTAACTATTTGCCCTGTGGTTCTGTCTTAACTCGAAAACGTGTAACGTGTTAATAATGTTCTACGTATTTATTCCTATCAATGTTTTCTATAATTTTCAGCGTTTTTTATTGGCTCGATTGGAAACAATCGAAAATCTGAAGTTAGCGAATAACTGCGCCATTTTGTAATACTTGGCGTAGAAAAAATATAAATACAAACAAGAAGGTTACAGTTACCCAAAAAAATCAGAAATTTTCAATTAATAGTTATTAACATCTCGCCTTGTAATAACTTGTTAGACTCGTGGGGAAATTCGATTTCTTTTCAATGCGACACCGTTCGTTCCGAGACTCGCGAACGCGTTTATCGAACGAGCCGGGAGCGGGGTGTAGTTAGAGACACGTGTGACACGTGCGTTTTCATTTGAACCATTATGATTGCAGCGACGTCGAAGAGATAGGTCGACAGTAGTTCCGCGCACGTTTCGAGCCGCATAAGGTTCTGTCTTTCGACAAATTCCCGTCTGTCTGCCGTTCCCTATGTATATTCTAATATGCCTGTTGCGAGCGCAATTCTAAGTAGGATATCTGTATTTTCTCAACATGATGTCCCGCGCGAATGAGGTCAAGTATCTATTTCGAGCTGTCGCCTGACAAAATAGCAGTCTGACTAAGGAAACCGACGGAAGATTTTGCGGCCAGATGGCAAATGGATCGCACGGTCGACTGCAACCGCGCGTATCAATTTCGAATAAGGACCTTAAAGCTTGATCGAGTTTCTGGAACGTTAGCTCGCTTACCCGTGTTAGATCTTTCGAGGAGCGTTCTAGTTTTCCGTTCCAGGGTCTCCGCTAAACAGTTCTCTAAGTCCATTTTCGCTTGTTCGACGCAGTTCCTTGTTGTTTCACGGGAAGAAGCATTTTATATTGTGCAAATCAAATGTTAACTCGTGTAACATGAAACTTCGGATTTTTCTTACTCGTAAATGTTTCTACACCTGTTGTCATTATTCCTTTGTCTTTCGTGTAACCTCTTAACCCCTTGCCTTAGAGTAACGCGTAAGACTCGCGGTAAAGATTTTAAATAGAATTTAACAAACGTATGTATTACTCAATTACTACGTACTTTATTTATTTTAGAAAGTAATTATTTGATACACGAACACAAGAGAAAGAAAGAAGAGCAGGTGGCAAAATGAATCTCTACTCTAATGAATCATTAAAATATCATTACAACATTAAATACTATTTTAATTAAGAAGCATAATTTAGAGAAATCAAATGTATATATTCTAATGCATTTTAATACAACTTGAAATATTTTAGTCTTGTAGCTCAAATCAGTACTCAAAGAATTCATTTGCAGCAGCCATGAAATAAAATACTATCAAAAACGTATCGCAACGAGTAATCAATTTTATTTTCGTAGTTGCACGATTTCAAACGAAACAGGCTGACGTTTCAAATGAAATTTTAATCGGCGCTAGTACGTCTGTCGCAAATTTATCAACTCGGTTTTATAAATCACGGTTCGAGTGTTTCGCAGTCACCTCTTGTACATAACATTTTCCGAGGTATTCCAATCCTTTTATCCCTCTTCGCCTGTCCGAGGGTCAGTTTTCGACAGGATGAAGAGCGTGTCCGAAAAAAAGGGGAGAACTCCGAGAGCCTTTGGTCAACCCTTACGCGTGAGTGCTCAAAGGAAGGGCACGCACATGCGTAGAATGAAGCGGGCCGCAGGTATTGTCGGGGGAAATTGCCTTTGCAATGTTCAGGAGGCTGTTTCCATTCGGACGCCTCCTACAACAACCTGTATTTTGTCCGAGCGGGGACGGCACGCGGAAAGAAAGAAGATAGGGACTCGGTTGGCTACTCTTAACGTATGATGATACCCTTTGAGGACTGAACGTTATCTGGCCGGTCTATTGTTCGGGTCGGGTCTGAAACTTTAGAACGGAGGAGACACAACGGTGATAAAACTAACCTGAGTAATAGAGGGAAATGGAAATAGTTGCGACGCGCTCGGGCTCCTGCCGATTAACCCTTAACCTTTCGCTTCTGTCCTGTTTTATTTTTGCTTTAATATTGCGGACCCCTTGACTTGTGATTCGTTTCATAGCTGCACACGTTGGAACGATTTTATTGTTGATTACTGGGAAGGGAAGAGAATTCTCGATGTATCTCGAAATATCAAATATTAAGAATTTAGAGTATATTGTTTTTATATTTTTGCTGTGATATTGCTGACGCCTTGCACTATGATTTCTGTCACAACGTTGAGACTATTTTATTGTTATTACTGGAAATAGAAGAGAATGAAACGGTGTTTTCATTTGCTAATTTTTCTTTGAAGCTTTTGCCACGAACATATATTACATAAAGAAAAGGAACATATAGTAAAATTAATTGAAAATAATATGAAAGACGTATTCGCTTTAAGAATGTTATCCTAATCATCGTAAATATCTTATCGTAATCTTATCGGTGATTATTCAGGTCGTTGCAATGTACAATCTCTAGTATCACATTAAACTAAAAGAAACGAAAAGAAAAGAAATTACAATTCATTATCACACTTAAACAAAAAATGATGAAAATAAATAACAAGAAATTAAGGGATACAGATGCTGAAAGTAAAATCCTTCTCGAATTAAAGAACGGCAATGGAAGATCACGTGTACAGTTGCAGTAAACATCTGCGCGATGATGGCTCGTTAAGAGGATTCTGTTTGTCGATCCCTTTTTATTTTCCCTTCCTTTATTCCTAGGTCATTGTCTGAAAGTAGCGCGATTGTATTTAGGTATTACTCCCTCAAAAGCGAGGCAGGCATCTCTCTGAATTATTGTGCACTAGATATGTGCAGAATTGTTTTGGCATTTAAATGCGGATTAACAGTGAAAGGATTACGGAAAATTGTTAAATTCGTCTTGATGGTCGCACTATTAAAATACACTTAGAAGTGAACTGTTTCGCATTTTTCAAAAAACTCAATTTACCGGTTGCAACAGTTATAATTCTATATTACTATATATTTTTTAACAGTTTCTTCGATTTTTTTTTAAATGGACTTAAGCCATTTTCAAAATAAACGGCGTATTTGTGATATAATAAAATATTCCCATAAAATTCCGTTACAAAACATGTTTAATACAAACTACTAATATTTTCAAACTGTTTTTTAAGTGTATTGAAATATTGGTTCGTCAAGAAATCAAAAATATTCCCATAAAATTCTTTCGGTCAACAGTTTCGGTAATTTCGAACTATTCAACTGTTCTTGTATCACGCTGAAACATTCGTCAAGGAAGCAAACTTGAAATCGATTCTACTTTCGAGTAATCCATTCATAAATTTTCTCAAACATTTACGACCTATCGATCACTTACGACAGAAAAATAAAAATTTAATCTTGACCGAGAGTGCTCAAGGGAAGGGACACGAAAGAGAGAAGGTTCTTCGACGAGCGTACTTTAAGACACGTTACCGAGAACTTGCGGTATTCATGGAAGAAATGATCGCTCGAAGTAGAAAATGCTTTACTCGCACGCCTCATTGTAATCTGAAACCGTTGAAATGAAAGCATTCTCGGATGCCTTTATGATACTGGCGGAGGAGTTTCTATAATCATCGGGCATGGTCGTCGTTTGTCATTCACGTGAGAAACTGAGCGCATGAACACACCGCGCATGAGAAAATCCATTTCCTTCGTTTCTCCGGGCGAGTTCAAATAGGAGTAGAATTTCGATTTTTAATCGTTGGAGGACATGAAGTGTTTGAACGAC